GGAAGTAAACAGAAGGTTCTGGATACACAACATTAGATGAATGATTCCAAGGGGAAGAGCTGTATCACTGGACCCTGGAGACCACGTCAGCAGACCCAGTGCGGCATAGGAGCAAGAGGGTTGGGCTGGGACTTGAGAGATCTGGGTTCTAGTCCTCCCTTACCTATGAAGGTCCCTGGGTGACTTTGGACCAGTCAACCCAGGTTAGTCACTCAGTAAGTTAGTCTCTTTCAGCCTAACCTACCACATAAGGAAGAGAGGAGAACCTGCCTTGGGTTCACTGCAAAGGAAGAATGGCAGGGTACCAATGTAATATCACAATCACCATCTCAGCTCATTCTCATCTAGATGTAGTTTCTGGTGCTGCTGCACCCAAAATGCCACAGAAGGTTGAACAAGCTTTCCAAAACCCTTCATCACTCCAGGTAGTAAAAAGTAGGCTGTTGAGGAAGAACACAGAAGTCCAGAGGTTACGCTAGACATTGTAGACCTAAATTCTATCTAACGGGGGCTTTTCTCATCTTCTCCCATGCCCTGCCTGATGACTTCTGGGGAGCTCAAAAGCTTGCACAATATTTTGTGAAATTTTGGTTGATTCTCATACAGAGACTGACCAATTGTGTATTTTGCATGTTGGTCTGCGTGCTCACGTGCCTCCCCAGCTATCTGTGTTTTATAGGATACTGGTAGTACCATGAGACCTGCAGTTCCCTTCCTTGACCAGCAGAATTTGTGGTGCAGAGAATAGAGATATGGTTCTCTACTGCCTGGGATTTTGCCATCACCAGATATTGCAAAAGTCTATGAAAAAACTTGCTTGCATTCATACACGCCAGAGATAAATTGACTGACATCTCACAGAATTCTAAGAAACAGGAAATGTGGCTATTAGTAATCTGCAGTAATTGATATTTCCACAATACCTTGAAAATGTCATTGCTGCTGTCCCATTTCTTCTCTTAATATATAGATGCCACAAAATCTCTTCATTAATATGCCAAAGTGAGAGCAATAACTTTATCCTGTATTTTGATCTAAAAGGTCACAGCAACAATTAGATGCTATTGGCAGATATTTTTATCACAGACACTGCTAGGTTAAGAGTTATGGACTGCAATTGCTGGTAACTTTGTGAATGAGCAGTTAATTCATGCTCCTGAAATCTACATGGCATTGTAGTGCAAGGCACAAATTTATTAAGGAATGGAACATTCTGTTCACTCCTAATTTGGAAGTGGCGGGGGATGTCTTTCCGCTTTACAGAAAATGAACAGTCGGTATTTTCGCCATGAAGTGCTTGCTTGTGAGACTGGTGAGCTGAAAAACTTCTGGGAAAAGACCATTGAGGAGCAGACTCAGCATTCCAAAGCTGAGAAAGACCGGAAACAAAAAAGTGCGCTGACAAAGTGAGTATGTCCCCTTGCATTTGGGGGTTCATTTGTTAAGATCTTAAAATGTATAAATAAGGATCTATACAGTAGGCGTGTGAGGATAAGACCCAATAAACAGACTTCTGGTAACAAGAAATGTTTTTGAAAGTGCGTGGACAAACTGGGGCTTGTCCAAAGGAGGGTGACTAAGATGATGAAGGTGGCCAAGCCAAGTCCAGGGAGGAACAGTTGAAAGAGCTGGGGGAGTTTAGCCCAGAGAATAAGGAGAGGTGAGATAGCTGTCTGAAGGATGGTCTGCAGAAGATGGAGCTACAAGGGATGTTGCAATGACAGGATTCCTGCTTTGAGCAGGATATGGACTAGACTAGGGTTCCAGCTCTAACATTCCATAATCCATAGTCCCAGTTCACACATTTTGGCTTCCCAGGATCTGATTAAACCCTGGGCAGTTCTGAATAGAGCAGGAAAGAGAGAGCAGGACAGCTCTTACACGTCCGCTTCCATTGAGCTAATCCATATGAGGATGCTCCATCTCCAGATTGAGTGTGATGCCTGAATGTGAAATTGTGGCTTGTTAGGGGAGTTCTGTTTTGTAATTGTAAGGATTTTGTTCAGTTCTTTAGCTTATCAGGAATGGGTGGGAGGGCAGAGCCAGTATGCTTGCTCCCACTCGGTCAAGATGACCCATGGATTGAATATAGTCCACAGCAGTCATGATGTGTGAACTGGATCTAAGCATGACACATAGGCTGGCCTCCAGGACAGCTCAGTTCAAAGATGAATGATCAGTTTGCAATTCTCTACCATCGTAAAAGGCCACATCCCATTTCTACCTATAAATAAACTAATGCATGCATATAACTGGTTCATGAAAGGTATTGCGAACTTCCTGACTGCTTCTCTAGTGCATCGTCCTCTGACCAGCATCTAGCCATATATAATTAAATTATTGTAATTAATAATGCAATTGGAAGCCTCCAGTTTGTTATTTAAGCTGCAATGCTACATACTACACTTACTTGGAATGAGTTCCACTGAACTCACAGGACTTATTTCTGAGTAAATATGCATAAGATGATGCTTTTAGTCTATTTGGCCACTGAATAAAAACATCGGGTCTCAAAAGGAGTTCTAGCTATATTTTTAATAATGGCTCTTGGCTGTAATTTCCAAGTGCTTCTCTTCCTGGAACTAGGAAGGACTGTGACCGGGCCTTTTCTAAGGTTTTTCTGTCCACTGAAGCCCCGTACACCCACTGCAGCAGTCAGTTATGTTGCTTGTCTAATCTGTCATACAACATGTACTGCATGAAGGGTCCACAGAGGTGGGTGAGGCCGGGCTCCCCACAGTTTCTTACCGAGTCCCCATAAGCATGGGGGAGAATGGTCAAGCGGGCGACACGGAGGAGCGGAGCCACTGACAAGGGCAGCCTGGAGACCCAGGGACACAGCAGAGACCCACTGACCGCAGCTACACTGCAGCTGCTCCTCGTTGCTCCTGCAGCCAGCCTCGTGCTCTGGCCCAGGCAACAGCAGTGATGAGAAGCAGAGGCAGTGGATGCCCAGCTTCTGCACCGACTGGCTTGCTGCTTGTCAGACATGCAACTGAATGAGGAGGAGGAGGAGCAATGGCAGCTGACGACAGAGACAGGGTGGGATAGTGGGTTGTATTTTAACTTAATGTTTGTATTTTTTAATTTAATGTTATAATTATTTTTTAACTTAACGTTGTAAGCCGCCCCGAGGCTTCGGCGAATGGGGCGGCATAAAAATGTTTTAATTAATTAATTAATTAATTAATAAGAGCACGGGTCTGGGACTCAGGTGAACTGGGTACTAGTTCCTGCTCAGTCATGGAGTTCACTGGGCCAGTCACAGACTCTCAGCCCAGCCTACCTCACAGGAGTGTTGTTGTGAAGGTGAGATTGAGAGGAGGAAGAGATTATGTAAACCATTCTGAGTCCCTTGAAAGAAAGAAAAAAGCAGCGATAACAAAACAATAAATAAATACATATTTGGGAAAAGGAGACTCAATGAAGGCCACTCTGGTGCCTTGCCCAAAATCCTGGAGTCAGCCCTGGGGAAGCAGTGCCAGGAAGCTGCAGAGCTCAGCGTCAAGGACTGATCCCAGGAGAGGCTCCTGATTGCCCTCTAGCAGGGATAGTTGTCTTGCAGAAGGATCAGAAAGTGTGGCCCACAATTGCCCTTGCCCCTGCCTCCCCCAGGGACCGCTTCACAAACTTATCCCAGGAGCTGAGGGCAGGTTAAATGCAGTTCTGCCAAGATGTTTGGCTCAGCCAGTGGAACGGAACATGCTTGGAGGTATACTTGCATGCTCCTCACAGGCAAACATGTCTTTGCCTTGCCTTGCCTATACAGCCCTGTTGATTAGCTCTAGAAGATGCAGGGAACTGTGTGTTTCACCCTGCCCTAGCACAAATCACTTTACAGAGAAGCAAGCTGAGGCCAGGTTAAACAGAAAGCTTTTAGAATATTTTTCTAAATGAGAGTAGGGGTCTCCCAGCCACTGACCCCCTGCCCTATCACTCCAGGATTCTAGAATGAAAGGTTAAATAAATGGAGATTTAGCAAGGGGTTGGAGAAGTGCAAGGGAAAGCTCTTGAAACCTCTCTCTCTCGCACGCTCACACACATGCGAGCACGCACATGGTCAGGTTGCAAAAGACAAAAGCAAAGCAACTTACCCGCTGGCTTTACTTAACAGCGATTGTACCCTGCCCTTTAGCCAAAAATGCTCCCAGAGCAGCTTACAGGGATAAGCAGCATAGCAGTTGCTGCCCTCGGGCTCATGATCTAAATTGAAGTCATCATAACCCATAAAGGATCAAGGGGGAGGGAGAGAGGGGGGAGTTATATGATTAAAATGCTTTCAACAGCCCCCTTTGAAGAGAAGGCGAGGGGGAAATTCACTTCCTCTCGCTCTGCAGTTCACAGGATGGACCCCTGTGTAGGAGCAGGGTCCCAATCCCTGTTGGATGAAGGAAGGAAAGGGGGGCAGGACAATTCGCCTCACTGGAGGCTTCATTTCCTGCTTTGGCTGCGCCTTAGAAATTAAAGGCAAACATTCTTGTTACTTGTGCCACTCTTGGGTTGGCAAGACAGGAAGGATCAAGAGGAGGAGGAAAAGAAAGAAATGAGAGAACTAGAGAACGTGAGAGCCATGGACAGGTATCAAGAGCTGAAGCTGCCTGTGAGGATACAGGTCTTGCAGAGTCACAGGCTGTGTGGGGACAGGAGAGAGAATGGAGTCTGGCTGAGGGGATGTCTCTGGCCCATGCAGAAAGGAGCATGCCCTAAAACAGGAGTGCCCAGCCTCAGTCCCAGAGGCTAACCCGTCCTGCAGGCCAAATCCAGGGCTCCTAGGGTCCCAGTCTGGCTCTTTGGGATTCCCCATATAGGTAGACCCCTTCCCCATATAGACTTCCTTCTCTCCCTGACCTACCAACCAACTGAACATTTCATAGACTCATAGAACAGTGGAGATGGAGGGAGCCTGTAAGGCCATGGAGTCTGGTCCCGGCTTTTGTGCCAGTTGCCTCTATTTGGAAAGGCTGAAATCCCTTTTCTAAGGCTTAATTACTGGCAGTAATAGCTGTACTCTCAAATATGCAGGTATTTTGGCCCCTCTGTTTGCCTTCAGTTCCACCCACCCACCCACCAACGGGTGCAGCACTGCAAGCTCTTTGGGTGGGCAGGGTTGCTGCAGCCATGCCCTAAAGCAGGGGTGGGCAATCTGTAGTCTTCCGGAAGTTTCAGCCTACAACTCCCATGGTCCCTCACCACTGGCTACACTGCCATAGAGCTGATGAGAGCCTTCGGTCAAAACACTAGAAAAGCCACAAGTTGGTAATATGAATTATTATCACTTAGTAATATGGAATAGCCCTTTCAAGTCAATACATCTTCCATATGGTGAAGCCAGAAATTATTTTGTCCTGGCAATATTTATGGGGGCAGGCACTCAAAAGTTCTAGGGCCATCAAAGAAAGCAACAAAACAAACACAACAAAACACAAAAACAAACAAAACAATAACAAAAACCAAAAGATACAAAACAAAAGTACTTTTAGCCTGTTTTTGTTATGTTCATGTCACTGTAATTTAACAATGTTACCATATTAACCCTTTCACAAGACCAGTTTATCAAAATAATAAAAGCCACAAAAAGACAATAAGGCATCTGTCCTACAGAATGAAAGTCACTCTTTTGACTGTTAACAATTTCTCAGCCTCTGAAAAAAGCCAGCAATTAGTGCATCAATTAGCATATACCCATAAAAGGCATGTGCTACTCTTTGCTAGTAGGCCTTCCATCCATTATGGGGTTCATTAATGCTGAAAATCCCATTCACCTTCCTTTCAGTATTAGATTGTTCAGCTAAATGGAAGAAGAATATAAAGAATGAATTGCAAAGAGGGAGTCAGGAAACCGGAAACCTATGGCACTTAGTGTTGTAGTACTCAGAATTAATTAATTGAAGAACAAAGCAGATGGGTCTGCAACTGAACTAGTATGCCTTAATATGCAATTAAGAATTAGGGGGATGTTAAGGAGCACACTGTCAGCTCTGTTCCAGTTAAGAATATCCAGCAAAATATGAAAGCATCAGCCTGGAGACATTTGGGGGTTTGAAGCCTTCAGCTATGGGGCGGCATACAAATGCGATAAGAGAAGAGAAGAGAAGAGAAGAGAAGAGAAGAGAAGAGAAGAGAAGAGGCTACAGGTGTGGGGTCCACTCAGAAATCTTTCCTGGGAGGAGTAGGTAGTGCCTTTGATAACCTCATAAACACAATGCTTAAGAACAGGGCTATATAGGCCATATCTTTTTTGTTATATCGCATGTATACCCCACCTTTTCTTCCTCTTGTAAGGAACCCAGGCTGGTTTACATAGCTCCTTTTTGTCCTCAGAACAAAAACCCTCTTAGGTAAGCTGGGCTCATAATCTGTGACTGGCCCAAGTCCCCTAGTGAGCATCACGGCTGAGTGGAGACTAGAACCTGGATCTCCCAGATCCCCAGTCCAACACTCTACCCACTATGCCTGCTGGTTCTCATGGTCCTTAGTGCAGCTCCTAGCAACGTCACCCCATAGTAAGCCTTCTAACTCAAATTTGGCCATGTGAACTGTTACTGGTTCTGCTAAGGCACAGTGTAGGTGTCTCTCTATAGCTACACCATTCCTGTTTGCAAAGGAATCACACATCCTGTCACATCAACTTAAGCCTAAGCAGAAGTGACTTGTCAGAGGGGGACATGCAGCTTCATTTACCTTAGAGGGTGACCATACGCCTCATATTTCAGAACACCCTCTTCAAAATACAGAACAAAGAGGGTATCTCTATTTCTTCAGACATCACACGCTACAGGGAGTCCTAAATCATTCTTCATGGTCTCATAGAACCAGTTCACAAAATGCTTTTGAACGCATTCTTGGGCACATATTTCCATAGGGAAATGTCATGTGTGAATTGAAGTGATTGCAGATGTAGGATGCTGTACTGTGTGATGAGAGAGCCTCAGCTATTGGGCAGTATAAATCAATCAATCAATCAATCAATCAATCAATCCAGTCATGCCAGTAATCACATTACGAAGCAGATTTTGATAGTGAGTGCTAAGATCACACTCTGTATTTCTTGATAAGACCATCTGGGGTCATTGGCGAATGCTTGGGTGCAAGGGCTATAGTGTTCCTTAAATTTGAAAACCGTATCAGTAAGAATCATTGCCAAAGAACTCATAACAGGTGATTTTCAGGATGACCACATCACCGGTCTGAAGAAACAAGATTTGCCCAGGAAGAAAGATACCATGGGTTTAGAACAAGTTCAGCATGTATGTAGAATGGAACACATGCCAACTCTTAAGTAATATTTATGTGATGCCTTTCTGCCCAAAAGAGACCTCAAACTGATACAAACCTTTAAAAACAGTCTCATGAAATCAACCTAGATATGAAAAAGAACCACCCAGTTTTATCTGTAAACAGAAAGTAAATACACCAATGCAGGGTTTTAAACATGTCAAAGAAACGCAATGGCAGCACACAGCCATTTTACAACTGGCCTAAAGCAAGACAACATTCAGACCAATCCTAGGGAAGGAATTCCACAGACAGGTGCTGTCACAGAAAAGGCTCTGTCCTGTGTGACCAGCAACATGTCTTCTCTGGACATGTGGGGCATATAACCACTTCAGAAGAATCTTGCACATTAGGAGCAGAAATAACTTGCTACTGCAAATGGAGACGATACGCCTTGTGAATGTAGCTGAGGAATATTCTGAAGAAATATCAAAATGGAGCTTTTATTTTCTAAAACACTTTCCCTTGCTAAGCAGTACATATGCTAATAAGATATCTTTTTTTTCCAATTAGACTCAGAAGAGAATGGACAGAAAGGCTGGAAAAAAGATTAAAAATGCTACAAGAACAAGATAAGAATGAAGAAGCCCCTAACTGAAGAGAAGATGCACTTTTATGTATTTGACTGAAATAGTGGTTTAAATTAAAAGAAGAAAGTTTGTGTTGAGGCAAAGTGTCTGGCTTGCATTCCTTCCACAGGGAAGGAATGGACAAATCAATAAATCAATTGATATGTTTGGGTATCTGACTATGTGATTTCACCCTTTAGCTATCAAAAAGTAGCTCTCTACATTTTCCCTTGGAAGCTTTCTTAGCAAGCTAGAAAATATCAATAGCCTAAGACAACATTCTAACAGTTCTAGTTGAAAGTGTGGGGTCTGGTGTGTGGTTTTTTTTAATATTCTTTATTGCTGTAGGGTGCCTTGAGGCAGAGAGGAAATGGAAATATTATAAATAAATTATCTCCTATTTACTTGTCCAGACACTTCTAATGCTGTGTCATTTTGTAACTTTTCATCAAAATTGTGTGCAGTGATAAATAGATTCACTAAAGAAATCAAACCCCAAGACTGCATTTATGACTAGTGCTTCAGAGTCAGGGCACACCTAGCCAGAAGGTGTCTGGTCTTTGTTTATGTTATTGGGTTGTCTTCAGTATGTCCATGTGTCTCCTAAGCATATCTCTTTTTAGTCTTCTTCACAGTCATTCCCATCAGCTGTGTGAAGTGGTCAAACGTGTCTGTTTAATATGGAAATTATCATATTTGTACTTTTATTGTGAAGTTACAAGAGTGCCCATATGTGGACTAGACTTAAACCTGGTTCATACATTGCACCAATTAATTGGACTGTCCCTGGATTATTGATGCATCATATAAACCCAGAACTCCAGGTTATTGCAGGACAAACAACCCTAAGTTTTAACCTAATTACAAGCTATGTGCTGTTAGCTTGCTAACTACCTTTGGTCACCCATGATTTAAATGAGTATGGGTTGGTGTTGTTACATGCAAAGTAGGCCACAGGGCCATATTGTATGGTGATATCGCTCAGTGTCTCTCAGCAGAATACAGGAACCATTCCTGTTGAAGTGTGTTGCATTTTGAGGTGATTAAAAATGTCTTTCTAGCATTTTATGGCAGCTTTGCACATCTAAGGCATCCCTTAATATAGTATTCATCTGCAGAGGAAAATGCCTTTGCAAAAATGTAAGCTTGCTTAGGTGTTCCCTAAGATTATCATATGATTACTTTCCTTTCAAATCTTTCTGTGTCATGAATCTTCAAAGCACTGTAACCCATGATAAACAGGTATAATTGGAATAAAGTTATGGCATTACATTCTTTACAGAGTAACTAATGCACAGGTGTAACAGCAGCCCGTATTCCCGAATGGCTTGTTCTACACAGGATGAAATTATTACAATTATTACATTACATTTCTATCCTGCCTTTCTTCCCTTTACATGTCCTCCTCTCAATTTTATCCTCACAACTACCCTGTGTAGTCAGATAGGCTCGGAGGCAGCCAGTGAGTTTCATGGCTGGGTGGGATTAGAACCCAGGTATCTGGGATTCCCATTCCATACCACACTGGCTCTGCTATGCTGCCTGGTTTAACATCTGCACAGGCAAACAAGAAATTTTTGCTGCCCTCCTTATGAGGTAGATAATTTGTTGTCCTTTTCTTTTGCAGATGAGGTAAGTGAGAGTGAAGGATCACATGTTTCAGAAAGTCAGTAAGAATCGCTTTCTCTTGTTTGGGTCATAGTTTCACTCAAGAACACATAGCTCAGTCTCTTTCCTTGGAAAACACGCAAATTCCCCTTTCAGGCTTTTCTGATGTTTTTCCTTCACTTGCCTTCCCTTTAAATATAAACGGTTTGTTGGGTTTTTATATTAGAAACATACAGAACTTCTAGGAGAAATACATCACTTACTTCAATTCTTTTCTGACTGTTTGACTATACTTCTCCATGACATTGGTCATTCACTATCATCTTGTTTATTCAGCTTTTCATGGCCAAAGATAATTTGTTAAATAAATACTATGAAAGCACATTATTGTGTAGTGTCTTTTGTGTTTTGGGAGAGTATTTCCCAAATTCTGGTTCTAATAAAATTTAGAAATACATTTTCTAAATAAATTTAGAGGGAGTAAAAAAAGGAAGAAAGTAAGGGATGGGAAGTTCTACTTTTCCCCTATGGACTTTGTGGGTTCTCAGTTTCCCTGGTCCAAGTTCTCTGGTCCAGTTCCCTGGTACAAGCTTAGAAATACTCTGAAGCCTGAGCACACTTGCTGTGTGTACTATCTTCTCCCTAGAACTGAGCTCAGGAGGAAATGCTTCACCATGTTTACAGCGCACACAGCTGTGCACAGCTGTAACTGGGTATAGCTGGGATGTCACAACTCTCTTGCTCCTCCTAGGATCTAACTGGAAGAAGCTCCTGCCATGAGCTCCTGCCATGGAGTTTCCCATCCAAGTCCCCAGTGCATTCCCCTCAACAGTGGTTCAAAGGCAGGTACTGACAGTGCATTCCCAAATGTGTATATGAAGAATTGTTTGTTCTGAAACACTACAGCATGAAGGAGAACATCAGGCCAGAAGCCCTTTTCATGAAGGGCTGGCTTCGGCATGCGGCCAGACATTGCGGTACAGTTTGGGCACATGATTGGAGGAGGAAAGAATCCCCAAATAACCCTTGAGCTGTTGGCATGCACCAAGTTTTGAATAAGCCACCCTGGCTAAAGAGGGGTGGCTTATTTACAGTGAGACCAGGGGCCCCTTTGTCTGTCACCTTAATCTACCCCAGAGGGTCCTTGTAAGGACTGTGTGGAACAACTCCATGTATGTTCCTATTTGCTTGGAGGAGGAGTGGAATCAGGATTCAACATGATCAGGGCTACATGTGGAGGGTATTGGCTCAGATCTTGGATACTCAAGTCATTGGAACAGCCTGCAGTTATTGTATTCCTCTATATAATATATGGCATAATACTTACAGAGCAATCATTGATCAGGCCATCAGTTTGCTTAGTTTTTAATCTACATTTTCTGAGATCACAACTACAACATCTAGATGGAACTGAGATGTGTTAAGCAAGAAAGATGAAACTTCTTTGATTAAAGCATTTCTTTCACTTTTCTTTATGAGGGCACTGGAAACATATTTTATTGCTGGATTTAACTCTGTTTTCATTTTTACCTTGTAGTTCACCTTTAATGTCTAGATGAATTATTATAGAACCAGATTCTACACAGGTAGATTTAGGACTCAGGGTCATATTATCTATATTTATACAAGTACCAAAATCCCAAACTCAATTTCTTTTCTTTTTTTTCCTAGAGTGATCTGGCTAGCAGTTTTATAAATTACTGAGAGCAAACTCATGCATCCCCCAAAGTAATAAATACAATTTAAGATCAATCAGGAAAAAATAGAGCTAAAATTCAAGTCTAAAATGCCAAGGAAGAAACTTAATCAGCAACAAGAACATTACTCAATAAAATCTGAGGCAAGCTGAAAAGACAGGAGTATAAATCTTTAATTCATCTTGAAGGTCCTTATATAAAAAAAAGTCAAAGGAAGCAAAGAGAAAACTTGCAATCTTTCACAATATCTTTTTTAAAAGCCTAAAAACAAATGTAAGATTGTGACATTGTGGTCAATACCTAATAAGAACACGCTGAATGCACAATTATCTTAGGGTGGCCATAGCCTGTCTTTCATCCTGAAGATTGTGTGAAATCCGCTAAACGCAACAATGTGACATGAAACATTGACAACCGTATCCCAATGTTACACCACTCCCCACTATTGTCTCTGTATGCTGAATTGTGGCCACGCAGAGTACATACAACTGGGTAAGCCTGTAATCTTTTTCTAACTTTTATCACCCTGGCTATGACATTAAGCATCAATAATGGAGGGCACAACTGGAATGGTACATTATGTTTCTTTGTTTTATGACTCAATTTATCTTTTTGTTTCCCTATATAAATCTTGCTTTTCTTTAAACAATTTATTGAGCTACTTGAAGAAGGCTTGTTCTGGGAGACCTCGACTGCACAAAATATGGTGTGCTATAAAGGAGAATGAAACAGTTGGCTTTGGAGCTCACTAAGGTATCCAGTGCTCACTGGAGTGAAACCAGCAAGCTAGGAGGGGTGCCAGAGGCTCTTCTGGTTTGCCTACATTGTGGATATTTTTACCCATCTGCCACTGGTGCCTTGGAGAAGGAGAAAAGGAGGCTTGGAAGAGCCTCAGGACAACTCATATCCCTTTCCACACCCATGGAATGCCCCGTTCCGCCTCTCCAAGGATGATTTGGAAGGCCAACCAGCATAGTTCTTTCTGCACTGATTTGAGGAGGTTGGGAGCAGGGTCAGACCTCTGAGCTCAGAGCACTGTCTTCAACCTCAGCGGCAGGATCCCCACTATCCTATGGCTGCTCAAAGAATGCTTAGGAGCTGTAGGATCACTTGCTAAATTAAGTCAGGAAGTGTACATAAACTTATACCACTTTTATGTGAGATTATTTTGGATCCACAAGAGTCAATACCTGTATTGGGTGTGTTTGTGTGCAGTTAAAGGCATTGTGTTGTGCCAGAAAGCAGCTTCAACTCTGTGAGGTAAGAAAAATTGGGAGACAGCCTTCCTTGCAGCCCTACTGCATTTGGAGGTTGCCAAGCTGGAAAAGGCTACTTTAGCTCAGGAGTGGACTTGAAGTGGATCTACTCCCAATATTCCAGTTGAGCATTCTGGAAGGCTCTTCTGAGAGCTCAAGTTCAAAACATCTGGAGAGCTACCTTTTACAAACCCATTGCTCTACAGGAAATTTCAGAAATAAACTGCCACCAGGCACATGAGCACAGGTGAGGATACAGAGAGCATACTATATTCACGAAGATGGAACAGGCCCTTGGGTTTCTTTTCAGCTCTTTCAAATTGTGGCAGAATGGTGGTAGGACATGCCATATTATCACAGTGAGCAGTTTAAGGCCCATTCAGACAAATGGACTAAATCAGTTCCCATTCTAGTTACATAGAAACATAGAAACAGAGCGAGTCAGAAGGGGTCTCCTGGGCCATCTAG